GCTACAGAGGGGCGAGGTTATGGCCCAAGAAGCAAAATGATGGGAGTCTGTCCCGAAATGGTGATTACGATTGGGGACATCGCGGTGAAGGCAATTGTGGATACAGGCTCCCAGGTGACGACAATCACGGAAAATTTTTACACCAAATGGATGAAAGGAAAAGACCATAGGTTGAGGTCTGACACATGCATGCGCCTGACGGCAGCTAATGGACTAACCATTCCATACTGTGGTTATTTTCTGGCGGATGTCGTGGTGGCAGGACATAGGTTGAAGCAGGTTGGGGTGTTCGTTACGAAACACAACCTAGAGACAAATGTGTCAAATATACCTTGCCTGTTGGGCAGGAATATTCTTGGCCAGTTGCCAGAATTTCTTACAAATATTGTCGGATCGACCACACCAGGTCGGGGATCCAAGTTGGCCAGGTTTGCCAAGACCAGAGGAAGGACAGCAGTCCCGGCAAACACGGTCAAGGCAATCACATTACAAATTGGTGATAGAAGTGTGAATGGTGATGTGATGATAGAACCATGTGGCGCCGCACTGAGGGCAGGCGTCGTGTTACTGCGGACATACACATCAGCGGAAAATGGACTAGTTCAAGGATTAGTGGCAAATGTTTTGGATGAGGAAATTTTTATACCGCCTAATACTCTGGTAGGAGTACCACAGAACGTCGAGGTACTAAGGTCGGCACAGTGCATCGAACTGAGCAATACCAGCAGTAATGAAGTAACAATTAGGTCGGTCAATGTGACGGCCGAGGTGAAGAAAGAGGATGGCCGATCATATACATTCCCGGAAACTGAGGACCCAAAACTAAATGAATTGCTGAATAAATACAGTGATATATTTGCCTCGTATGAGGGTGATTTGGGGTACACGGAAGTAATAAAACACCAGATACCCTTACTACAAGACAAGCCGGTGGCGCAACCTTATCGAAGATTACCACCGAGTCACTACTCGGCGGTGAAAGCACACCTGAATGATCTACTAAAAAAGGGAATTATTACAACCAGTACAAGCCCGTATGCGACACCGATAGTAGTGGTAAAAAAGAAGTCAGGGGAGATAAGACTGTGTTGTGATTACCGGAAATTGAACAATATCACAAGAAGGGATGCATTCCCCTTGCCTCGTATTGATGAATGTCTTGATGCGTTGGGGGGAGCAAGATTTTTTTCTACCTTGGATTTGGCTAGTGGCTACCACCAAGTGGCCATGCACCCCAACGATCAACATAAAACTGCATTTATTTCTCCACTGGGACTGTACGAGTGGACCCGTATGCCGTTTGGTCTAACTAATGCACCTGCTACATTCCAGCGAGTAATGCAGAGTGCTATGAGTGACTTTCTATTTCAAATAATGTTGGTGTATTTGGATGATATTCTAGTTTACTCAAAAACTTGGGAGGACCATCTAAAAAGATTAGAACAAGTGTTTCTCCGTCTTAGGGAGATAGGAGTAAAGCTGAACCCAGACAAATGCTGTTTTGGTCTGAAATCGGTACATTTTTTGGGTTATGTGATTTCGTCGGATGGCATCGCCACTGACCCAGATAAAATTGCAGCTGTTAAAGAAAGGAAACAGCCAACAACTACAGTAGAGGTCAGATCATTCTTGGGCTTTGCTTCCTATTATAGAAAATTTGTGCCTGGTTTTGCAAAAATTGCCGCACCATTGCATGACTTGGTAAACAAAATGACAAAGAAACACAGTAAGGAGAAAAAGAAAGGTAAAACACAACTGATAGGTGAATTATGGACTGATGAATGCCTGAACTCGTTTAAGCTCTTGAAAAAGGCTTTGACAGAGGCGCCGATATTGGGATACGCGGACTTTGACAAACCATTTCGGTTAGAAATCGACGCCAGCTCTAAAGGTCTGGGAGCTGTGCTATCACAACAACAAAAGCAAGGTTTCAGGGTTATTGCGTATGCCAGTCGAGCTCTGAAGGGATCAGAGAGGAACATGACAAATTACAGCGCCATGAAACTAGAACTTTTGACATTAAAATGGGCTGTGACTGAGAAATTCAGGGACTATCTATTAGGTGCTAAATGTGTGGTATACACTGACAATAACCCCTTGAGTCACCTAAAGACAGCAAAGTTGGGATCCATCGAACAGCGATGGGCAGCAGAATTGGCACTCTTTGACCTAGAGATAAAGTATCGCCCGGGGCGGTCCAATGGCAATGCGGACGCCTTATCAAGGAATCCTTACGAGAAACCGGGTGATGAGGAAGAAACGCTGACAGGAATATGTGAGGTCAGAGCGTCAACAGATATCCCTCATGGGGTACAAGTGATGCAAAACGGGCAGACCGGGGTGGAGCACATTTCCACAGAGCCCGGACATATGGACAGTGGTGATGTTAATTGCCTTAATCACAAAAAGATAAGAGATGCCCAGAGAACGGATAGTGGCTTACAACCGCTATTGAAATACGTCCAGGAACAAAAATTCCCAGGAAGAAGGGAAAGAGAACAATTTGGTCGAGAAACAAAGAAAATACTGAGTCAGTGGGACCGTCTCAGTATAGAGGATGGTGTTCTCATGCGGAGAATTCATGACCAAATTGATGGGACAATACACCAGGTGGTGGTGCCTGGACAGTTACGAGAAGAAGTGCTAAGGTTGGCACATGACAGGGCAGGACACCAGGGTCAGGACAGGACGCACAAAATATTACGACGGAGGTGTTACTTGCCCAATATGGAAATGGAGGTCAAACGCCATTGTGAGGCTTGTGTGAGGTGTCAGCATGCGAAAATGCCAGTTGTCAAAATGAGACAGCCATCAGGACACCTACTAGCGACAAAACCACTAGAGATTGTGGCTATGGACTTTACGTCGTTGGAGCAATCATCGGATGGGACGGAACATGTGTTGGTAATGACTGATGTATTCACCAAATGGACGGTGGCGGTGCCCACGCGAGATCAGACTGCCAAAACAGTGGCAAAGGTCTTAATAGAACATTGGTTCATCAAATATGGCATACCAAGACAATTACACTCTGACCAAGGAAGGGCCTTCGAGTCAGAAGTAATTAACCAACTGTGCAGCCACTACGGGATCAACAAATCTAGAACAACCACATTTAATCCGAAAGGAAACGGACAGTGTGAACGGTTCAACCGCAGCATGCATGATTTGCTGCGTACACTAGAACCTGAACAGAAAAAACGTTGGCCTGATTTTCTCCCAGAGTTGGTATATCTATACAACTGCACACCCCATGCCACAACCGGCTTTTCGCCACACATGTTGCTGTTCGGACGGGAGGCTCGACTCCCTCTTGATTTGTTCCTAGGAAAAAGAGAGAGTATGACTGGCTCATACACCGCACTGGAATATGTGAATGAACATATGAGAAGAATTAGAGAAATGTACAGGGTAGTACAGGAAAGACTAGAACATGAAGCACGGCGAAGGGAACCGCCGGTACAGACAAAGGACCCGCCACTCAAACTGAATGACAGGGTATTACTGCGTAGCCACCCGTTAGGCAGAAACAAAATCCACGATCTCTGGGGACAGGAGATATGGCAAGTCGTGGAGATGCCTAAAGTAGCAGGTGGCCCCTTTAAGATAAGACCCATCGATCACGCCAAACCGGATCGGTGGGCGAATATTGCTCAATTAAAGAAATATTGGAATAGGCAAGAAGAGCAGTTACACACAAGGAAATCCAAGACAATTAGGGAACCGGAAACTATAACGGAAATTCACATACCCATCCCGGAACCATATCACCATCAACAGAACAACCGCGATATACAAGTGGAGGATAACGGCAACAAAGAGGATCCCGTTCCTTCCAGAAGCAGAGAGACAGTAGACCATCAGATAAGTGGTCCGCGGAGAAGTTTGAGGAACAGAAGGAAGACGAAATTTTTTGTCAGCAACCATCAAGTCTTTCATGGTCGCGCTGGTATGAGAACAGACGGTTCAAAAAGCTATAAAACTGAACTGGTGAAGGCACCAAACGAAAAGGGTGGATGTGAATTCTAGAACTGTTTTGTGTCTCAGGAAGACGATGTAGACACAGTTGATATGTGAAATAGGTATAACTGTCAATCGTATACGAATGGAACGTCGTGGACAGTGAGTGGAACAATAAAATTTTTTTTACGATTGTGCGATTGACTTTGGAGGAGTGCACCTGCCAGGCGTTGTTTGTGGTTGAAAACACACAAAAAAAGGCAGGGGTGGATGTAACTAGGGTAGGCCTAGCTACTAGTTACAAATCTGATAACGAACGATAAGCCGAGACGCAGTATTACAGTCTGATGCAACCGATAGCAGGTGGCTTATTGGATCGGACTGATAACAATCTCAAAGCCAACGCGTGCTATTTTGGGAAACGGTACGAGGGGATTCAGACGGCCTGTCAACTTTGATTGATAGGATGCAGATGTTTATGACACGGACTGTACGTTAGAACTGCGCAACTAGTGGTCGGAGACATCGAGTACAAGTATCGATTACGGAGGAATACAAGTACGAAGATGAGTACGAATACAAGGGATAAATAGGAGGGGACGGCTGAACTCGTTCTCTTCCCTCTTCATCGCTCGCTTTAGATCAGTCAGTCTGTGTGACATATCAAGTTGGTTATATTGTGTTAAGAAGGACAATAGACATGTGGATTCAGTTATATGAAGCCTAGTGAGGACTGTTAGGGGTCAGTTGATTCAGACTATTATTGTGAAACATTCCTGTTGATTCATTGTGTTATATTGAAGCATTTCTTGATTCATGTAATAAAAGGATCAATAGCGAACCTGCATCTTCGAGTCTTTCTACTGTAGTCGATGTTGTGTAGCATGAGTGGTTCAACTCGTTACAATTGGCGTTGTCGGGCAGGATAGACTCGGGGAAGGTTACATATATATATATATATATATATATATATATATATATATATATATATATATATATATATATATATATATATATATTTATATTTCATTCATAATTTTTTAGTAATGGATAATGTTTATGTTGAAAATCGGCTGTTCAGTTCTATAGAAAATTCCGTTTGTGTTGGAAATACACATCTAAATTGACTATCGCAGTATAAAAGTTCATACGTTTAAATTTAAGATTACATTTTTACCTGATATGTGAAATCTTTCGAAGACCGGGTAGAGTTGGGTTTAAAGTTAACGTTGCTATATACGTAGTAAATTCCTACATTAGACAATTCAAATGTGAGTATGCTTTTCTTTCATATTGAACAAACAATAAAGTATATTTACTATGCTTACAACACTTTTAGTGATACACAAAATTCTGTCCAAAGATAATTTAAATCTTTGAGATTTACTAAGGATAATGATTTATTTTTTTAACCTTGAAAAACTCTAACTAACCAGAAATTGAAATTTTGATTCCTTCTTGTGTTATATCTACACCGCTGCTAATTTGAACAAGTCCTTTCGTACTTTGGTCTATATATAGAATGGAATGTTGCGTAGAGCTGAACGTAAGGTCTAACGCATAGAAAAGAAAAGATACATTCTGTTTCTACATGGTTTGAAGGTGACATTGATCTTAAGCATGAAAGTTTGACATTAATAAAATAATACTCACAAACTGGTAGTTGTGGAATATAAAATATATAAGGTATATTTTACCATACTATTAAGAAGAAGTATCACCCTTGGATTCGGAAAGTAATGTTCTAAATTACAAAAAAACCAATACGTTTTCACCAAGCACTTTTACTTTATAACCTGAACTAAATTAATTGCTTTGACGTAAAATTCGAATATTTTTTCCTTAATTTCTAAACTTCTCATCTGTCTAAGGCAATAGTATTACATTTTCAAAATTATCATGATACTCACAAATTTTAGAATTTCGATTAATTTGACCCTAATAATACAGTAAGTTGAGAATGTAGTTTTGTTTTTAAAATTTTGCAAGAATGCTAAGGATTTAGTCTCACAAAAAATGATCATGTTGGGATGTTACAATTATCGATAAAAAATGGCAAATTACTATAAAACATGTGGCTTTTTTTAATGTATATGTATATACTAGGACAAAAATTATATGCTGTATTTTAACTGCATGATTTTTCATAACTACTGTGAAAATTGTATGACTTATAGTTTTATTTTTTGGTTCTTTCCGTTAGTCTGGGTGATATGAATCGTGTTTTCTGTACAGAATAAATGAGTTGTGATTGGGCAGAAAAGAAGTTTGAAGAATTTTTAGTAATGATCTACCTAAATAAGTGGCTAACGATACGGTAAAAAGAAATACCAATAGAATTCTCTGTTCCTGGAAACCTGGGTGACGGTTGAAGATTAACGTGAGCTTGCACGTGATTGTATTGTTTGATCTGAGAGAATTAATGACAATTTGCAAAATGTTTAGTAATGTTAGTGTGTATTTGTTATTACAACGAATATTGAACTTTAAACGTTTAGTATCTATACTTTTGATATCAGTTGCTCATTAATATAGATACTTATCAGTTTTATTTAGATGAAAACATAATCTACGAGAAAAATGGCCCGTTGAGGAAGGGTAAAACGGGCGCTAGGTTGATAGTGCTTTCTATTTTCTCGGTACTTTAATTTATACAAAATATAGTCATAGGCATATCCCAAAACCATGCACCTAATCTCTTTTATGACAAAAGTCGCATTTAGAGTTTCTTTCAGGCAACTCTACTTGGGAGGAGGGGCTTCGCCCCCCCCCCCCCCTCCCCCCCTCTTACACACACACTCCAAAACATGTCTACCGTCCCATTCAACTAAATATAATTATATACTTTTTCCAGTGTCCGCCCCCTCCCCGAAAATTCTACCCCGCCCCCGAAAATTTCAAGTACCCCCACCCCTCTCCGGGGAGGAAAAAGTCTGAAAGAAACACTGGTGTCGCGCTTAGCCACTACCCGAAGAATTGCATTAAAGAAATTGCAAGAAAACCACTTTTTAGATTAGACACATTAATTAGGCGGTAATTTTATTATAGAGTATCGATGAAGAAATTTCTTTTGAGTTGGGGAGGGGGGGGGGCTCAGACGTTCTTACGCGGGGGGGTGGGGCTTCGCCCCTACCCGAAGAATTGTATGCAAGAAACTCTTCACGCAAACCACTTAGTTTAGACCAAATTGCCTTTGTATTGAATGTTTACTCGATAATCAATGACGTCATATTAATGTGTGCACTATCCGGCTTGAGATTATTTTCTACTCTGTGCTAAATGTGTCGACGTCATACTTCGTTTTTCGAATTACTATGCATGTTTTTAACTTGCTTGTGTTTTCTCTAGAGCGTTCTTGTCAGATAGATAGATACACAGACAGCGAAACTATTAGTATTAATAGATGTTTACAAATGGGTAATATTTTATGAAACTACATCCTAATTTTACATCACATGCAATATATTAATTATATTAGCAACACATTTTCAGGGTCAAATCAGTTTATAATTTTATACAGCTCTTTTATTGTCAACTATTTCCAGTCGTGCCGATTTAAATCATTATTTTCTGGGGTTTTTTTCATTGATTAGTTAATACACTATTTAAGCACATGTTTTTCTAATTGTGACATTTGTGATCTATAAAATGGAAAGATTGTTTATATATATATATATATATATATTTATATATATATATATATATATATATATATATATATATACATATATATATGTATATATATATATATATATACATATATATATATGTATGTATATATATATATATATGTATGTATATATATATATATATATATAAATATATATATATATATATATATATATATATATATATATATATATATATATATATATATATATATTAGCGTACACGTCCCTGTGCGTTGTCGCGGGGATAGAAGAAAGTCTGACTGAATATATAAGAAAGGTTTCATCAATGCGTTACCAATCCTATATTCTTAGACGTTTTTTATTTCAAACTGAGTTATTTAAATGTAAACAAAGTCTGCGCTTGAATCATAAATATCGGTACACGAGGTTACCTACACTACCGCATTAAAACCTTGAGTGTATGTTAATCACTCACCACAATAGTGAGGAAGAACACACTTTAATGACCGCCCATGTGTCAGGTATGTAGAGGGGAGCTCTCGGGAATTCTACTTATTTTTTTCGCAGAATCCTCCCCAGGATTATTCCAACAACTTCTCAAAGTTTCATGGCGATCGGATAAAAGGTGTAGTAATGCATAAAAGACTCACAGACGCGCACAGACACACACATTGCTTATATATATATATATATATATAGCCTATATACATAGTAAAGCTATACAATTAAAATGCTTACGTCTGCAGTCGATCTGTCTACCAGATGTACTGGCAAATGTGTGATAAGAGTTGAAGACAACTGCAAGTGAAATAGAATAACACGTAAATACTACAAAATTAACCTAGCAAATAACTGCGTAAATAACGCACTTTATTTTTCAAACACACAAACAAAATTAGGTCTTTATCACATTTCGGAAAATGTAGGATTAACTGTTATGTTATGGCTAACAATCATATACTTACTTTATAACGTGTTTTTTGTGTTTTAATCGTGTATATCAATATAGCTGCTGATAGTATCAGTGTGCAAATTGATACACTAGTATATAAAAAAAACAATAAAATAATATTACGACATGTAGACATATGACGTTATTATTACAAATGTTTAATTTATCAGCTGAACTTTTACGTTTTCAATCATTTTTTACTTTTGATTAAATGACTACTTGCAATACAAAATTAATTAATACGCGATATTTTCAAATTCTAATTTATATGTGTAAAATTGTATGTTTGTATAAGTAATATAATAAGTTAATATAGTAAATAAATGCGTTTTTATTTTTATTTTTGGAATACGCGTCCTTCTGAAACATCGGAGTTCATTCAGACACGCCTGTAGTGGTACATTATATAAGTTGTGAATTTCTAAACTTCTGTCTGAACATTTATGATTTTGTCCATTTTAGCTGTTTAAACAATAACTATTACAATAATGTTATAGTCTGTCATTTGTTGCACAATTGTGTGTACACTAATTGAGCATGGACATAAATCATTTACATAAACCGGGCGATTTAATCTTGCATGGGCGGCCCCCCTGGCAGGATGCGATTTGGCGCCCTGGTCTTTCCCGTGAGCGCTATGGTAAATACGTTCGGTCTAAACAGTGTGATATACAATGGATAGGATGGGGCTTTACAAACGCTTACTAAATTGAATCAGGCGTGTCCTCTGGCGCCCTGGTAGGGTGTGATTAGGCTGCAAATAAAAATGTCTGTTTCGGCCCCAAAGGCTCACATGGGCCGCTGAGTGCCATGTAATACGTTTTATTTTAATAATCAGGAAAATTAACCAAGGTTAGATTGTTAACTGGGATGTTTCTTTTTGTCCGAAAAAAAAAATCCAAACAGTTTCGTCACTTTGCGAATGATGCAATTATAATCTATTTTTAGATAATCAAAACAGAAATTGAGATCGAGCATCTAGGAATAGACTATGAGTATCGCTAACATATTGCATCAGTCACACTGATGTTTAAAACGCGTCAAAAAATTTTTTTACGTGTTAATTAACAAATCCTGATCATTTGTGTCACTTTAGTGAATGACGTAATCTGCATCATTGTTAACAGGATGCTATTTTAAGGAGCCAGGGGTCGTACGCAGCGCCTATGCGGTAGTTTGAACGGGGGGGGGGGTTCCTGAGAGCGGGCATCTACGTCTGTGACACATGGGCGGTCACCGAAGTGTGTTCTATAGTATTATTTCGGTGAGTGATTAATGTACACTTAAGGTTTTTATGCGGTAGTGTAGTTAAACCTGTCACCCGATATTTATGATCCAAGCGCAGGCATTGTTTACATTTAAATAACTCATTTTTAGAAAACAAGGTCTAAGAACATATGATTGGTAACGCGTTGGTGAAATCCTTCTAATATATTTCGTCAAACTATCTTCTATCCCCGCGGCAACGCGGCGGGGGGCGGGTACGCTAGTATATATATATATATATATATATATATATATATATATATATATATATATATATATATATATATATATATAGCCTGAATTCAATGAATATAGGAAGCTTAATCAATGTTGAATGTTTACGGTTTTAGAATTTTTTCTGTTTGAAAATGGGTCTTTAAGTGTTTTTTAACTACAATAGCTAATAGAACACTATTTAAGTTAATGATTTTAATATAATTTTGGATTTTTATAGACTGTTGTTTCAAAACTAGGTTGATCTGTGTAAATACTTACATATAGCATAGTAACATGATTCTTCATTATGATAAAAATAGTTGTCGAAGCCCCATCTAAAGCCTCTTCCTCCAGTCTTAATATGTTGAAAATAGAATAGTTTTCTAATAAAATGTGTCCGATATTGTACTTCGAAACTAATAGTATAAAGTGATCAACATTTAAAAAATAATTAGTCTTTTTAAATATGAATGCAATTAAATTGTACAGCTATATCCAGAATACATTGGTTAAAATATATTAAAATCAATTAAAACTACGAATACTAGAAGAGCAGCTGTTTTACATTAAATATGTTTTTTTCCATATAAAAACTGTTCATTGACATTAAATATGTTAAGTCTAATGGAAAACAAAAATTATATAGTTTTTGTGTTTAATAATAATAATAGCTCTTTCCCCCATTTAGTCTATATTTCTTAATGACGATTCTTATTGTGATATTTTATGTTTTTTTTTAATTTTATTGTCTCATCCATTGTTAAAATGTAAACCGGATATCTATATTCTTAGTTGTTGTAGATCTACTGATAATTCGTTTTCTATTTAATCTATTTCTACTGATGTCAGCATGATATTCTAATATTACTGGTGGGTGAAAATGTTAGGGACTGGCTTTGTCACCAGGAGCAGCAGAGCTAAGAAGTATCGCTTAAATAAAGAAAAAGCTAGATCAAAAAAGATTGCTAACATTTGTGCAGCGGATGATATTCATTTTCAAAAGAAAGATGGAGGACAAGGCGTTATTATTGCTTTTAGAAACTCAATTAGCTATGAAAAGTTAAAAAGAATTATAAAAAAATATGCTGATGTTGTTAAGGAAAGAAGGGATGATGATGGCGCCAATGTTGAAGATAATTATAAATTACCAGGGCTTTCTGTCCATCTGTACCACACGAATAACAAAATTATGGTACAGGGAAAATCTAACGTTGTGTCTGTTTGGGTGGATACGGAATTTTGCTGTATTTTAAATAACCTTATTACAACAGACAAAGCTATCGACATGTCTCTACCCATGTCGCCGCCACTATCACTGTCACCACCACCTTTACTGTCCCCACCCAGAGTATTGGAGCTACCCATTTCACCTCCCATGATTATGTCCGCTTCCAACAGTAACAATCAATGTGCAGAGGTTATGATCAATACCAATTCGTTAGATTGTGTAACACCTATAAAAAACTATACAGTTTCTTCGAAGCTATCTCAACCAACTGATTTGCTTAGTCCAAAAATATCATTTCATCAAACCACACATCTGGAAAATAACTTAAGATCGTTTATTCTTAATGAGATCACCTGTGTTAAAAAAGCTTTTAAAGCGGAGAAATTGCAGTTTAACAGCCAACTAGAACAACTTCGAGTAGAAAACGCTTTCTTAAGGGACGAAGTCAAGAGACTATCTAATAAAGTGCATAGCTGCAAAGATATACACGTCAACCTTAAGAAGCGTTTGATTGATCAAGAAAATATTTCTGCGTCACTAAAGAAACTCCTCACAACCTAGAAACCCTCTTGCAGAACAATATCCACCTCAACATGTGAGGATAATCAACAACTAATTAATGAAACAAAAATCACTTCGGCAAGCATCCTGCAAGAAGCTCCGTTCCCAATCCCTGTTAAAATTACACAACGTGAAGACAGAGCGCGTTTATCCAAACCATCGGAACATTCGAGTCCCAGCACCCTGCAGCGACCACGCACTAAAAGTGATTCTACACAATACAGCGTCCCAACGGTCAAGGCTGTCCATGTCCCAGTTGTCCAACGCTCTACCCACTACGGCACTAATAGAGATAGCACACAACATGTCGCCGCCCCCTACACCAACCAAACAACGAAACACCATTTGATCCTTGGTGACTCTACACTTTAAGGTCTCCATCCTGATATAATGGCCACGGATCATTACAAGCGTGTATCGGTAATAGCCCTGCCTGGGGCAAATTTTGATAACATTAGGGACGTTATTAGTAGCCGATCACGTGACTCTAGTACCACAACTGTAACCTTACATTGTGGTGTCAACGACAGTCTATCAAACGTCAGACTTTCACAAGCTAATATGCTAGAAATTGTGAGAAGTATTACTCACAAATTTCTCAACGCAACAATCCGATTCTCATCCATCGTACCCCCATGTCGGGGCAAGGGTAGGAACTTGATAGAAGTAAATAATAGATTTTTACAGCCTTTCTGTATTAGTTATAAATACTGTTTAATAAACAATACACCTTTTTTTCACTGCGAAGTCAGGTGCCCCGAGACAACGCTTGTACAGTGACAGTATTCATTTAACTAAAATTGGAAGCAGTATTCTCGCTAAAAATATAAAGTATCCCCAAAGAGCCGTCAGCTTAACAGATAAAGACCATGTGCAACTTTCAAACGTAAAAGGTACAAAGGCTGATTTGGTTTCGACCGTTAATATGCTTCCAACAATATCTTCAGATCAATTGAACTCTAGCCCAGGCTTACATCACTTAATGGGCTTTAGCCCTTTGTTGCTTCATCAAGCTCTAATGTAGTCGCATAAGCGCCTTCCTGGAACCTAACTTTTTCTCTTACTATTTACTAGTTTAGCTCACGGTACTATTTTAATTATAATACATAGTGATACTATTGTACATTTATATAGCAATATACATATATATTTATATTTATATATAGGTATTTATTTTGAGAGAGAGAGAGAGAGAGAGAGAGAGAGACAGAGATAATAAGGCAGTGTGAACAGCAGCGAATGTTTGTTTTATTGGGTGACAAAGTGTGTAATTGTAAGACAGTTATATTGATTCTGTTTAATTAGTTCATTTTATTGATTTTTGTTTATAACATCTCTTATTCATTGATATTTTATTATCTTTATGCATTGTCTATTTTCATCATCCTGGCCCTCACAAAGTGGGCTAAAATTGGGCCATTTAAATATTTTCCACATATTTCATAAACACCATGAAGTTCTTAAAATTTTAAACAATTCCAACAATCTTTTTCATATCTTTGGTTTCTCTGAAACTCGATAACAATCTTTTAATAATGATGTTGAGATATTCGTCTCTGATTATAACCTAATACGCCGAGACCTATCCTTACACAAAGAAACTGGCATTTGTGTCTATGTCAACTCCTCAATTCGTTTCAAGTACAGGAAGAATCTGTCAACGGACAATATAGAATGTATATGGATTGAACTGGAAAAAAGCAAACACCATCCGACAATTTTAATTTGCTTCCTTTGTAGAAATCCCTGCTAAAACATGGATTGGTATGATCGTTTTTGCTCCATGATAGATACCGTTTGTCTACTAACAATGAATTTATCATATTTGGAGATTTTAATATAAATTTATTAAAACCTCAAGGATATTGGCAAGATATTGTTGATTCTCTGAATCTAAAACAATTTGTACACACGACTACCAGGGTCAATTGTGATGGGGGGTTTCATATATATTATATAATTATATCTTCTCGATATCTTTTCTATATTCTGATCTGCTACTATTCATACGACAACTATTATACTTGTGAGTAGGACGGGAATCACTCTTATGTTCCGCAAACACTAATTAACAAAAGTCAACCATTTCGTTTATGAAAAGAACACTAACTTTATTAATACACACTTATTTGCACAATATCAAAGAATACATCCGTCTCCTACAATTACTAACCCCCAACTCACGTTACTGCCGCGGTCTACGTCATTGGTACATTGTCGCGTCATGCTCACGTCACATTCGCGCCACAAATATTGTATTCAACATGCGCACAATACTCTCGCACCAAATCGTCTACAGTCAAGTTCGCACCGTCCTTTGTAACCTCTACTAGTCGTCTAATTCTTTATATCTACGCTATGACATCTCCTCCCCCCCTACAATTAAAAAAAACTAATACTATTAGTTTTTTTTTTTCTGTCTTCTTAGTCAATCATCGTATAAATACATAGTCATAGCGTCATCAATGACTGAATTACATTAACATTTCAATAGCAACAATTCCAGCATTCACATTTTCAAAAAAACAAACGACAACAATGTCATGCCGCATCTTGAACTGCCAGTAGAGAACTTTATCATCTGTATTGAAAAATTTACAAAATAAACGTCAGTCAATTTATTCTTTATCTTCGGTAAAGACTGTTCCACAAAAGTTTATCATCTGTGTAGACAAATTTACAGAATATACGTCACTCAATGAATCTTTATCTTCGGTAGAGACAGTTCCACAAATGTTTATCATCTTTGTAGACAAATTAACAAAATGTACGTCACTCAATGAATCTTTATCTTCGGTAGAGACAGTTCCACAAACGTTTATCATCTGTGTAGACAGTTTTCCCTGTTATACTTGACGTCTAAATGTTCCCTTGAGCTTTATAAACACAAAACTTGGCAACACTGTGACCGAAAAACAAATATTTATAAGCTGAAGTTGCCGTTACGACTTGATCGAAAATTGACCGCGACCGTGCGTAAGGCTTTTGTTAGCTGGTTATGGTGACTCTTCTTGCCGTTACGACTTGGTCGGAAATTAACCGCGACCATGCGTAAGGCTTCAGTAATCTGGTTAGGATGACCCATCTCACATTGATTTGGTTCCTCTAGATGTGTTACTTGACGTGATCCTGCGGACGTGTCCTTGACGATGTGTTTCATATGTTCACGTTCATGATGTACTGGTCGTTTGACAGCTGCATTCATTTAAGCTGGGCATCAGTGCGTAGCATTCACGAAGATGACGTCAGATTCTGAGAAAATATGAGCGGACATGTCGTCTTAAACATATGCCAGCTAAGCGTTTTTGTGCCCGTCGGACAAATAACCTTCCTCTTTTAAAGAAAAACCCACCAAATTTTGATATGCTGGTTATTTGTCCACGACACACTACATAATAAAAATAGTAACTACATTATTATAATTATCAACAAAATACCAACTACATTACTAAATCATTAACTACACACGACTAGCATTAAAATAGAAAGACATCTACTACACACAAAAAAAAGACATGTGTGTTGTATTGCGTGTCACATATCTGTAGTGCAGGAGCAGCTCTCTG